GTTATTCGTATGTTCTAATAACAAGCAGAAGCAAGAAACCGAAGCCGACGCCGTAACATTAAACAAGTTTTTCAGTATTCCAATAGAAGCTGGAGAAAGACTACCGACATTTGACCATTCTGATTATAATTGTATTGTGTTTGATGAGCTAGGTATGGCGGGCAATTATATTTTGAACAGAGTTAGGGAGTTTAAGGATACGTACCCAGAGAAGATAATTATAGGAACTGCTGACGGGAAGCAGTTGAAACCTATAGCTGATTTAACTAACACCCAGGACCACGAGACATATTTAAACAACTGTCTTAATCAAATATTTAAATATAAGATTTATCTTAAGATATCTAAGAGACTTAAGACAGAAGAAGATAAAATTAAATTGAATGATATATATAATGACATTTGGAAAAATAAACTGCCCATTAAGGAAATAGTAAATAAACATTTTGAAACTACAAGCGACATCATGGAAGGAGAGCATAACATAGCCTATACTAATGCTAGGTGCAAATGGGTAAGCAAGACCGTAAGAAATAATTTAGGAAAGACAGATAAATATGAAATTGGAGAGCATGTGATATGCAGAGTTTATAAAAAGGAAATGGGGCAGGTGTTTAATGTAAATATTACTTATGAAATTATTAGTATTGATGATTGGAAAGTAGAAATCCAAGATATCAAAAGTAAAACTATATTCATGACAAACACCACGACTTTAGACAAGCACTTTATACATGCGTATTGTGCTACATGTCATTCGTCTCAAGGGGCTTCTCTAGATAAAAGCATTACTATACACGAATGGGATAAATCACATTTGGTCAGCCGTGAGTGGATTTGGACAGCCCTCACGAGATGCAGAGATATCAATAAAGTCAAGTTTTTCAAAGCAGACGTAGATGATACTGATTTAAATGAAGCACAAGTAACCAGATATTTAGAACATAAGATTAAACAATATAAATTACAAGACATGAAAGCAGAGAGAGAGATAGACAACAAACAATATATTGATGTCAAATGGTTATTTGACAGGCTTAATACCAGATGTAATAAATGCAGTTCAGATTTTGACATAGAAATAAATAATGGAGTAATAAATAGCAATATGACAGCCCAACGAATAAACAACGATTATGCCCATCATAAGGAAAACTGTATATCTTACTGTTTAAACTGTAATCGCCGGGAAAAATAATATCTATCTTATTTTATATGGCATCTAAGCAAGATATTATTAATAATGTTTATTATGATAAAGGAGGCTTCGGGTCAAAGAACCGCACTTTACAAGAAGCAAGAAAAAAGGATAACACAATAACTATAAACGATATTAATGAGTTTTTTAGGAAGAATGTAGAACAGAAAGCCAAGCCAAGAGGACAGAATTCATTTGTAGCTCCTAACGCATATTATGAGTTTCAAATTGATTTATTTTTCATTAATGATATCCCTAAACAAAAAATGAAAGTTGGCATGATGTGTATTGACATATTTTCTAAGTATATGGTTGTTGTCCCGCTTATGTCAAAACAGCCAGCGGACATTTTAGCAGGACTGATGGAATGTATTAAAAAAATGGGTGGAAAGCCCAAACTAATTTATATTGACGATGAAGGAGCTTATAATAATCAAAGTGTTATAGATTTCTTGAAAGATGAAAAAATAGAATTACATAGAACCAGAGGTCACCCAGCATTCGCGGAGAGGGCGATAAGGACGTTTAAAGATAGCTTGTATAAGAGGGTTGAAAACGATGAGAAAAAAGGAAAGGCTATTCAATGGACAGACTACATACACGAGATTATATTAACTTATAACAATGGAATAAAGCACACTTCGCACGGCTTAACACCGTCAGAAGCAAGAAAGCCTAAACATCAATTAGAAGTGAGTTTAAACTTAGGTATGAAAGCCAAAAGAAATAGAGTTTATCCAGATTTAAATGTAGGAAATGAAGTTAAGATATTCAGGAAAAGGAGACCAAACGAAAAGGAGAGAGTAGGAGTATGGACTAAACAAACCTACAAAATAGCAAAGATTGAAAAGAAGTTAGGACAGGAATATTATTATATTGAAAATTATGACAGGGCATTTTTGAGACATGAGTTATTAAAGGTATAAATTTATTTCTTGGAAAAAAGTATTTAAAGAAATAAAAACTATATATATTATAATAGAAATGATGGAAACCGAAATCAATAATTATATCAATAAAAAATGCTATGATTGTTGCCACTTAAAAAAAGAAAACATGGAATTGTATAAATTGAATTTACCTAATGGAATAGTTAATCATATTATCGATTATGCTTTGAGTGAAGAAGATGAATGTGAAATTTGTCAGGAATGGAGAGATAATCAAGAATTAATCAGATGTCATTTAAATCTGAAAAGAAGACATAATAGAAATGTTGAAGACAACATTATAATATTTCTAACTGTGTATCAAAGACCACCTTATAGTTATGTTAGAGCATTTCTCAAAATCAGTAAGAAAAGATATGAACTGATTGACCACATTTTATGGATGTTGTTGCATCGTAGAAAAGAGGGGTCTGATTTAAAAGAAGACATTAAATCATATATTGAAAGCAATAAGTTTAATGTGAAAAATACCGTGAAAACTATTAATATTATTTTTGAACTGATGCATGACAAACGTAAGATATTTACACAATTTAATAATCATCAATTAACTTATTACCCTGAACTTAAATTATAATCATACTATAATAATAACATCTAAAATATTATATGTTATAATTATATTTCAATATTTAATTTTATTTCTTGTAAAAAAGTATTTAAAGAAATAAAAACTATATATATTATAATAGAAATGATGGAAACCAAAATCAATAATTATATCAATAGGAAATGCTACGATTGTTGCCACTTTAAAACAGAAAATATGGAATTATATAAATTGAATTTACCTAATGGAATAGTTAATAATATTATTGATTATTCTTTGGGTAAAGAAAATTTATGTAAAATTTGTAGAAATTGGAGATATTACCAAGAAGCAATCGAATGTAATTTGGATATTAAAAGGTTTAATGAAAGAAATGTTGAAGATGACATTTTGATATTTTTAACTGTGTATAAAATACCACCTTATGATTATGTTAGAGCATTTATGAAAATCAGTAAGAAAAAGTATGAAATGATTGACTACATATTATGGATGTTGGAGTATCAAAGAAAAGAAGGGTTTGATGTAAAAAAAATCATTAAATCATATATTGAAAGTGAACAGTTTAATGTTAACAATATGGTGATAGATATTAATATTATATTTAAAATGATGTATGAAAGAAGAAAGATTTGTCAATTAAATTATTATCCTGTACTGAAATTATAATCATACTATAATAATAACATGTAAAATCTTATATGTTATCATTATATTTCAATATGTAATTTTATTTCTTGTAAAAAAGTATTTAAAGAAATCAACACTATATATATTACAGTGGAAATGTTATTTAATTATTCAAAGTGCGAATGTTGTAAAACTAAAAGGAATGATGTTAATATAACATTGTATAAGTTATTACCCGCCAATCTATGTAATAAAATAAGTGAATATGATGTATATTGTAGTCAATGCTGTATAACAAGAGACCTTGAAAAGTTTTTTGTTGAAGAACATAAGGATAAGGGATATACAAAGTTTCAATTACAATTGCAATTCTTTATGAAATATCAAAAACGATGTCCTGTATGTTTTTACCATAAAATTGCTAGAAAGTCATTTGAAAAAGAAATTAATGAGTTCTTTAATAATAAAGATTTAATTAAGAGGTTTGGAGGGACAAACGCAATTAAACCATATAAAGCATTTGTTAAAAAATTTCGACGCATGTTTGATGCGATTGATTGGCATTTATTAAGTAAAGATAAAATAAACGAGGTCTTGAATGAATTTAGAATAACTAAATATCATGTATGGTCTTACTACAACACTAAATATCAAGTATGGCTACTAGTTAATTTGTTTTTCTGGGAATATATTTATTCAATAATAGGAAAAGACAATATCAAATATATAGACATTGGCGATATTGATAAATATGTAGATTACATATTTGAAGACATTTTTCCTGACTATAAATGTAACCCATAATTATTAATCATACTATAATAATAACATTTATACCCTTATATGTTATAATTATAATGTAAGTATAGCGTTTTATATATTGAAGATAAAATCCTACAAGGGACACCACGCCCCAAACAAATATATGATAAAAGTGATGAAACGAAGGAGGAGAGTGATGTTGTTGCTGTTCTATTTCTTGTCCGGGAAATGGACAAATCGTTTTTAGACAGTTCGAATATTTTTTTGATGACAAATATTTTTTGCAATATATTTTGCAAAATTTATTTTTTTGAAATGGATGAGGTGAGGAGATTGAGGAAATGACATTTTGGAGGGTAGTTGGTGAAATGAATGAGGCGAGGAGAAAGGAGAAAAGGATGGCGAAAATTTTGGAAAAATGATGATAAAAAAACGGATGAGATGGACAGAAAGGAATGTAGAAAAATGATGAAAACAAATAAGGGTAGAAGATGGAAGATGAAAAAAAATGTAGGGTGGGGGGTATGTATGAAGCAATTTATTTGCGGGGCAAGGCCCCCGACTACTTTTTCTGGGGAGCTGCGTTCTTCATACCGCTGAGCTCCATGTCTCTCTGTCGAGTTCTTTTTGGCAGGGGGCGGGGGCAGTTTCGAGGCTCATTTAAGTGTGTCTGGTTGTAGGGAACCCCCCCCAAATCCCAAATGGTGGTTCTCCTATTGGTTTCCCTTTGTCAACCAAAAAGGGCACCCTCAACAAAAAACTGTGGAATGGGGGGGTGCTTACGAGGCTCGGCTCATTTGGGTGTGTCTGCTTTTGGGAACCCCTCAAAGGGTACCCTCAACAAAAACACACACACACACACTCTCACTCATGTCAGAGACCCCGTGAAAAGCATCCCCCTCGGAGGAGCCGGTACATGGTGTTGGCCAGCTTCTGCACCTGCACGTAGTACGCAGCCGTGGCCTCCTGCAATCCAGGCACCTGACAAGGCCCGGGAAAGGCCCGCGGGTCTAAAATAAGCTCGGGTGATATCCCCAACAGCATGCGGTGCTCTTTGCAAAGCCTCGTGGAACCCTCGTGGAACCTTACCTCAGGGCCCCAGGGCTGCTCCGGACCACGGAGCCTATCTGGGCTGAGACCCCAAAGCTTTCAGCTGTTGGGGAAAAAACGGTACATGGGGTTTGTATTTTGGGACAGTTTGACAAAAGGATTGGAAGCATGATTAGTTTTTTTTTTTTTTTTTTTTTTAAACGTGCTTAGCATTTGTTGTCGTTGTATGAAATCTTGAATGGTTCATGGATCTGTGTAGCATGGGGTAAAGTCGGAAACATAAAATTGTCGCTGGCCAGGGGTTAAGTCAGGAACCATTTATCAAACCGCGATGACCATTGCCTGGGATGCCGCCAAAAGCCAAAAGTGCACCCCCGCAACAACAATGGGCATCCGTCAAAAAGATCCCGGTTAATCTCTCCCAGCTGCTGGTTGCTTTTCAGCTGTCTTGAATCAGGCGCAAGAAGCTCCAATATTCTGGGAAATTATTGAGGAAAAACCAACCAACGCGCACGACGTCGTCACTTTGTTAACGGCCTCCAAGTCTTTGTTTTGTTGTTTGAGCAGGTCTTATCATTCCCGAAAAATCCTGAATGGGGTTGCCGCGCACGACACTGGTTCAACCCAAAGGGTGTCCCTGATTTCTCTGGTGCTTGCGCCTCAGGTTCTCGGGTATGGCTCCCTGACCATCCCTCCCTCAAACAAAACATGGCGCCTGACAGGTCCCTAAGAAATGTCTCTCCCACAAATCCTGTCAGAAGGGTGCCTGTTTTGTTTGAATGTTGACCCCAGATGAAGCGACCCCAGCTTGTAGGAGGGTGTCCCTGGGTGACACGTGGGGAATCAGATTCCACTTTTGGAGGGCCCCCTACGCCCCTAGTAATGAAAACTGGGGTTGATTGATATCTGGGCGGGTTAAATGGAAATTACAACTATCCCCTAAAAGCCTAAAACGTAAAGGGGATTGGCTGAGAGCCACCAAAATATTTGGCCAACAATCATCTCGCTCCTCACCTCCGCGCCTGGTCAGGCCACTCTTGCTGCTCTGGATGCTTGGACTCGGAGCTGAAAAACTCCCGGCCTCCCGTGGCGAACCAACCACGAGCAGATTCTCAAGAGGAAACCGCGTGCGAAACCTCCTTTTGGGGGCCAACTACCTGTTGAATCATAGCTTGCTGAACCTTGATATGACGTCATCAAGGGAGGGAAAGAAGGAACTTTCGTAGTACAGAACCTATTTCGAAGGTAGCTTGCACAGATAGACAGCCTTAGAAGATCGATAGCGCATGCGAAAAGATAGCTCTTGCAGATAGGTTAGAGAAGATCTGATGGGCTATGCAAAAGAAAGCCTGTGCAGATAGCTGACGCGCAGATAAGATTAATAAAGAATGAACGCATGCGATAAAA